GTGGCATGAAAATTGAGTAACACGCAACACTTGCTTTATGTGAAACAACAATTTGTAAAACAACTGCAGATTACAGTCATTAAGAACCGTATTTTCCCAATACTAGATCACTTTTAGCATATGACCAACCAACGGGCTGAAAACGAAAAAAATAAAATAAAAAAAGAACTTACCTACACAAGTACAAAGGCCACACACACGTAAGACAAAAAAAAAAAAAANNNAAAAAAAAAAAAATAGAGCAAGAAGACTCTAGCAAAAAAAAAAATAATAATAAAATACACAAGCTGTACAAAACATAAATTATGCTCAAGGTAGCAGGAACACAGAATCCAAGTCATTAAACAAACAAAACACATCTTCATCAACAACAGCAACTTGCATCTTTATCAATAACAGCAACTTGTATTATCCTACTTAAATGTTTCAACCATCTGACCATCTTCAACAAAAAGCAAAAAGAAACCAATGTATGTTCAACCATACACATCATTCCCACATAAAATAAAGTATTCAGAAATCTACGTCAAACACCAATCATAAACTTGTTTAATCACCAAACTCATATGTAATCATTTATGACCTTATTCCCCTCATATTTAAATAAATTGTACTACCACAAAAGTATTCAATTTTTTGGTTGGCCCTTACACAATATATATTTAAAATTTTAATGTAACGAAGTCCATTTCTACTGAGTTCCTAATGGAAAGCAAAATTCCTCGTCGTTTCCAACTTGAGATTGTGACGGTTGGCTACTCGGTTTATTTGATTGACAGATAGTCGTTTTATGCCCCAGTTGACTGCAAATTAGAAGTGAAGTGTCATATAAAATAAAATGTATAAGGTAAAAAACTATTAAAATAACCAATTTCAATTGTCTTGTAAGGTATAGAACACGTACCCGCATGATTTGCACTTTTGCTTTTTTGTTGGTGGTGCTCCTCTAGACCTAGCCTTAGGTGGGTCGCCCGATTTATTAGACTGCTCAGAGCCTCGTACCGGGTCCTTCACAACTTGTGATCCTTTATCGAAATCATCAGTTGAATTTACGTTCTCGTCTCCTTCTTTATTCTGAATGTTATCTGTAGCACGTCGAACTTTCTTCATACACCGCGAAGTATCTGAATCAGTATGTGACGCCTCCATACACATTTCAATTGATTCCTTATACAGTTCGTAATACCTTTTATGTTTTGGATCAGCAGATGCAGGGATGTAGTGAAATTTTTCTCTAAGATATTTACCCGCCAATATCGTCCACCTGTCACATATGCATTCGGTTGGCACTTTTTGAAGCTGCAAGTACTTAAAAGCAGTAATAATATGACTGCATGGCAAGCCATCCGTTTCCAACATTTTACATGCACACTCAAATTTTTCTTCACCAAAATTTATGCGGACCGCCAACTTTCTTCGGTCTGTTGAAGCATATTTT